CAAACACAGAGGCTATAGCACGATCTGGGATTGAGATAGCCACAACACACCAGATATTTGTGTTTACATCCCGGTAAATCCTGAAAAATTGTTGTGGTTTTCCAGGGAAAATATCATGTTTTCTCGGGTTTTTGAAGCTTTCTGCCTAGAAAACTCGAATGCGTGGAGGATTTGAATCCATGTGGTAAAAATTAGCATTTGCCGGCAGAAAACTTACATGCTAAAATGCATTCAGAACTGTAAAATCCGTAGAAAATGTCCAGAAAACACAAACAAACACAGAGGCTGTAGCAAGATCTGGGATTGAGATAGCCATAACACACCAGATATTTCTGAGTTCATCCCAGCATATCCAGAGAAATTCTTGTGGAATTCGGGTGAAATTTAAGCAAAAAAACCACCGTGAAAGTGGTTTTGGAGAAAAGCACAATCTTTCTGTTCGGCGCATGCATTCCATGTCTTGTTTACAAACAGAAATATCATGTTTTCTCAGGTTTCTCAAGTTTTCTGCCTAGTACACCGAATGTTTGAGGGATTTGACTCCAGGTGGAACCAATTAGCGTCTGTGAGCAGAAAACAAAAAGCGTCATGCTAAAATGCATTCAAAACCATGAAGACCATAGATAATGTCCAGAAAACACAAACAAACACAGAGGCTGTAGCAAGATCTTGGAATGAGATAGCCACAACACACCAGATATTTCTGCTTTCATCCCGGGAAATCCTGAAAATTTGTTGTGGTTTTCGGGTGAAATTTAACCAAAAAATCACCGTGAAAGTGGTTTTGCAGAAAAGCACATCTTTCTTTTCAGCAAATGCATCCCATGTCATGTTTGCAAACAGAAATATCATGTTTAATCTTGTTTCTGAACCCTTCTGCATAGAAAAGGCGAATGTGTGGAGAATTTGACTCCAGGTGGAATCAATTGGCATTTGCCAGCAGAAAACACAAACAACCACAGAGGCTGTAGCAAGATCTGGGATTCAGATAGCCACAACACACCAGATATTTTTGTTTTCATCCAGGCATATCCGGATCAATTGTAGTGGTTTTTGGGTGAAATTTAACCAAAAAATCACCGTGAAAGTGGTTTTGGAGATAAGCACAACCTTTCTGTTCGGCAACTACATCCAATGTCATGTTTACAAACACAAATATCATGTTTTCTCGGGTTTTTAAAACTTTCTGCCTAGAAATCTCGAATGTGTGGTGGATTTGAATCCATGTGGTAACAATTAGCGTTTGCAGGCAGAAAACAAAAAACTTACATGCTAAAATGCATTCAGAACTGTAAAGTCCATAATATATGTCCAGAAAACACAAACAAACACAGAGGCTGTAGCACGATCTGGGATTGAGATAGCCACAGCACACCAGATATTTTTGTTTTCATCCAGGAGTTTCTGGACAAATTGTTGTGGATTTCAGGTGAAATTTAACCAAAAAAATCACCGTGAAAGTGGTTTTGGAGAAAAGAACAATCTTTCTGTTCTGCAAATACATTCCATGTCATGTTTACAAACACAAATATCATGTTTAATCTGGTTTCTGAAGCTTTCTGCCTAGAAAACGCGAATGTGTGGTGAATTTGACTCCAGGTGGAACCAATTCACGTTTGCCAACAGACAACAAAAACAACCACAGAGGCTGTAGCAAGATCTGGGATTGAGATAGCCACAACACACCAGATATTTTTGTTTTCATCCAGGAGTATCTGGAAAATTTGTTGTGGTTTTTGGGTGAAATTTAACCAAAAAATCACCGTGAAAGTGGTTTTGGGATAAGCACAATCTTTCTGTTCGGCAACTGCATCCAATGTCATGTTTACAAACACAAATATCATGTTTTCTCAGGTTTTTGTAGCTTTCTACCTAGAAAACTCGAAAGTGTGGAGGATTTGAATCCATATGGTAAAAATTATCGTTTGCCAGCTGAAAACAAAAACTTCCATGCAAAAATGCATTCAAAGCCATAAAGTCCATAGAGAATGTCCAGAAAACACAAACAAACACAGAGGCTGTAGCAAGATCTGGGATGGACATAGGCATAACACACGAGATATCTCTGAGTTCATCCCATTATATCCGGACAAATTGTTGTGGAATTCGGGTGAAATTAACCAAAAAACCACCGTGAAAGTGGTTTTTGAGAACAGCCCAATCTTTCTGTTCAGCAACTGCATCCAATGTCATGTTTACAAACACAAATGTCATATTTTCTCAGGTTTCTGAAGCTTTCTGCCTAGAAAACACGAATGTGTGTAGGATTTGACTCCATGTGGAACCAATTAGCGTTTGCCGGCAGAAAACAAAAAGTGTCATGCTAAAATGCATTCAAAACCGTAAAGTCCATAGAGAATGTCCAGAAAACACAAACAAACACAGAGGCTGTAGCACGATCTGGGATTGAGATAGCCACAACACACCAGATATTTTGCTTTTCATCCCAGCAAATCCTGAAAAACTGTGGTTTTCAGGTGAAATTTAACCAAAAAATCACTGTCAAAGTGGTTTTGGAGAAAAGCACAATCTTTCTGTTCGGCAACTGCGTCCAATGTCATGTTTACAAACACAAATAAGTTTCCTCAGGTTTCTGAGGATTTATGCCTAGAAAACTCGAATGTATGGAGGATTTGACTCCATGTGGAACCAATTAGCGTTTGCTGGCAGAAAACAAAAACTTGCATGCTAAAATGCATTCAAAACCGTAAACTCTGTAGAGAATGTCCAGAAAACACAAACAAACACAGAGGCTATAGCACGATCTGGGATTCAGATAGCCACAACACACCAGATATTTGTGTTTACATCCCGGTAAATCCTGAAAAATTGTTGTGCTTTTCCGGGGAAATTTAACTAAAAATTCACCGTGAAAGTGGTTTTGGAGAAAAGCACAATCTTACTATTCGGCTAGCATCGGATGTCATGTTTACAAAAACAAATATCATGTTTTCACAGGTTTCTGAAGCTTTCTGCCTACTACACCGAATGTGTGCAGGATTTGACTCCAGGTGGAACCAATTAGCGTCTGTGAGCAGAAAACAAAAAGCATCATGCTAAAATGCATTCAAAACCGTAAAGTCCATAGAGAATGTCCAGAAAACAAAAACAAACAGAGAGACTGTAGCATGATCTGGAACTGAGATAGCCACAACACAGCAGATATTTTGGTCTTCATCCAGGAGTATCTGGCCAAGTTGTTGTGGTTTTCGGGTGAAATTTAACCAAAAAATCACCATGAAAGTGGTTTTGGAGAAAAGAACAATCTTTCTGTTAGGCAAATGCATCCCATGTCATGTTTGAAAACACAAATATCATGCTTAATCAGGTTTCTGAAGCCTTCTGCATAGAAAGCGGGAAGGTATGGTGAATATGACTCCAGGTGGAACCAATTAGCGTTTGCCGGCAGACAACACAAACAACCACAGAGGCTGTAGCAAGATCTGGGATTGAGATAGCCACAACACACCAAATATTTTTGTTTTCATCCAGGCATATCCAGACCAATTGTTGTGGTTTTTGGGTGAAATTTAACCAAAAAATCACCATGAAAGTGGTTTTGGAGATAAGCACAATCTTTCTGTTCAGCAACTGCATCCAATGTCATGTTTACAAACACAAATATCATTTTTTCTCAGGTTTTGAAGCTTTCTACTAGAAAACTTGAATGTGTGGAGGATTTGAATCCATGTGGTAAAAATTATCGTTTGCCACAGAAGACAAAAACTTACATGCTAAAATGCATTCAGAACTGTAAAGTCCGTAGAAAATATCCAGAAAACACAAGCAAACACAGAGGCTGTAGCAAGATCTGGGATTGAGATAGCCATAAACACCAGATATCTCTGAGTTCATCCCAGCATATCCGGACAAATTGTTGTGGAATTCAGGGGAAATGTAACCAAGAAACCACAGTGAAAGTGGTTTTGGAGAAAAGCACAATCTTTCTGTTCAGCAAATGCATTCCATGTCATGTTTACAAACACAAATATCATGTTTTCTCAGGTTTCTGAAGCTTTCTGCCTAGAAAACGCGAATGTGTGGAGGATTTGACTCCATGTGGAACCAATTATCGTTTGCCAGCAGAAAACAAAACCTTACATGCTAAAATGCATTCAAAACCATAAATTCCATAGAAAATGTCCAGAAACCAGAAACAAACACAGAGGCTGTAGAAAGATCTGGGACTATGATAGCCACAACACACCAGATATTTTTGTTTTCATCCAGGAGTATCTTGACAAATTGTTTTGCAATTCGGGTGAAATGTAACCAAAAAGCCACCGTCAAAGTGGTTTTAGAGAAAAGCACTATCTGTTCAGCAAATGCATCTCATGTCATGTTTACAGAAAGAAATATCATGTTTAATCGAGTATCTGAAGCCTTCCGCCTTGAAAACGCGAATGTGTGGAGGATTTGACTCCATGTGGAACCAATTGGCGTTTGCCGAAAGAAAACAAATACTTACATGCTAAAATGCATTCAAAACCTTAAAGTCCGTAGAGAATGTCCAGAAAACACAAACAAACACAGAGGCTGTAGCAAGATCTGGGATTGATAGCCACAACTCACCAGATATTTTTGCTTTCATCCAGGATTATCCGGAAAATTGTTGTGGAATTCGTGTGAAATTTAACAAAAAAATCACCTTCAAAGTGGTTTTGGAGAAAAGCACAATTTTCTGTTCAGTAAATACATCAAATGTCATGTATACAAACACAAATACCATGTTTTCTTGGGTTTCTGAAGCTTTCTGCCTAGAAAACACGAATGTATGGGGGATTTGACTCCATGTGGAACCAATTAGCTTTTGCCAGCAGAAAACAAAAACTTACATGCTAAAATGCATTCAAAACAGTAAAGTCCGTAGATAATGTCCAGAAATCACAAACAAACCCTGAGTCTGTAACAAGTTCAGTGACTGAGAACACATCATATATTTTTTGCTTTCATCCAGGCATATCTGGAAAAGCTGCTGTGGAATTCATGTGAAATTTAACCGAAAAATCACCGTCAAAGTGGTTTTGGAGAAAAGCACAATCTTTTTGTTCGGCACGTGGATAAAACGTCATGTTGACAAACACAAATATGATGTTTTCTCGGGTTTCTAAAGCTTTCTGCCTAGAAAACACGAATGTGTGGAGGATTTGACTCCATGTGGAACCAATTAGCATTTGCCAGCAGAAAACAAAAACTTACATGCTAAAATGCATTCAAAACAGTAAAGTCCGTAGATAATGTCCAGAAAACACAAACAAACACAGAGGCTGTAGCAAGTACTTGGGTTGAGATAGCCACAACACACCAGATGTTTTTGCTTTCATCCAGAAATATCCGGAAAAATTGTTGCATAATTCGGATGAAATTTAACCAAAAAATCACTTTCAAAGTGATTTTGAAGAAAAGCACAAGCTTTCTTTTCAGCAAGTGCATCCCATGTCCTGTTTACAAGCACAAATATCATGTTTTCTTGGGTTTCTGAAGCTTTCTGCCTAGAAAACTCGAATGTGTGGAGGATTTGACTCCATGTGGAACCAATTAGCTTTACCGCAGAAAACAAAATGTTACATGCTACAATGCATTCAAAACCGTAAAGTCCAAAGATAATGTCAACAAAACACAAACACAGAGGCTGTAGCACGATCTGGGGTTGAGATAGCCACAAAACACCAGATATTCTGCTTTCTTCACGGCATATCTGGAAATTTGCTGTGGAATTCAGGAAAAATTTAATCAAAAAAATCACCGTGAAAGTGGTTTTGGAGAAAAGCCCAATTTTTCTTTTTGGCAAGTGGATCCAATGTCCTGTTTGCAAACTCCAATATGTCTGTTCGGGTTTCTGAAGCTTAAAAACTAGTTTTGGAGAAAAACCCAATCTTTCTTTTCGGCAAAGGCATCCAAAGTCATATTTAGAAACACAAATATCATGTTCTCTTGGTTTCTGAAGCTTTCTGCCTAGAAAACTCGAATGTGTGAATGATTTGACTCCATGTGGAACCTATTAGCATTTGCCAGCAGAAAACAGAAGGTACATGTGAAAATTCATAAAAAACCGCAAATACCACTTGTTCTCCTTGATAGGTGACAACTAACTGAGCACCAAAAAGGAAACCTGTTAAAGTGAAATGAACACTATGAGAAATGGTGACTTGATCAACCCTCACCCTGTTGATGAAAACTTGATATGTTATCCCTCTTAGTATTTTTTTGTCTGTTCTTCTTAATACCTTTGGTTGAATACTGTAATCAATACACAATTCTTCTTAAGTGCTGAAACTTAACTGAAAAGTGATCACTGTTAAATGTTAGAGTGGGAATAAGAGAGGGAAGAGATGTGCAATTCGGGACATGCTCAAGCTGACTTACCTCAAACGGTAGAGTTAGAAACATACCAGGGGATTCCAATTCAATCCCATCAAGGTGGCATGTACCCATGCCATCTCACTAGTCCCAGTGATCAATTTCTGTTCACAATTTATCAGAATGATAGGACTAAGAACCAAATGGATCACATAAACAAGAATAGTGTCTGCAAATACTAGCTGATAGAATAAAAAAGGGAGAGAATGGTCCAACATGGGAAGTGAGATACTCAGCAGACCCATAGAATGGCAGATGTCCTAAACAGCACTCTGGCCTCAGAATCAGCCCTTAAGGCATGCGGATCCAGCTGAAAATCCCATGAGAGTATTTCAGGCATGGAAAGCCAAGACACTCTGGGAAAAAAAAAATCTAAATGGAAGATCTCTGTGAGTGAGATCCCAGTGGAAAGAATGGGTCATCAAAGAAGGAGGTACATTTCTCTGAAGGGAGGAGAGAACTTCCATTTTGACCATGGCTTGTCCAAATATGATCAGAGTCAGTGAACTCAGGGGGCTTCCATAGACTTGGCAGCTCATGACAAGAGCCTAGGGTGATTACTGAGGCCATACACAAGAGTGTCAATTTGTTAAGTCAACAACAGGAGTCACTGTGCACTTACTCCTCATGTAGGATCTTTGTACTTAGTGTGCTATTACATTGAGATTTAATGCTAGAACTAGTACTCAAACAGTATTTTTCACTTTATGTTTCTGTGTGGGAGCAAACTGTTGAAATATTTACTTAATGTAAACTAAACTGATTTTCTACATATAAAGAGAATTAAAAATGAATCTTGATGTGAATGGAAAGGGAGAGGGACTGGGAAAGGGGAGGGTTGCGGGTGGGAAGAACGTTATTGCGGGGAAGCCATTGTAATCCATACGCTGTAGTTTGGAAATTTATATTCATTAAATAAAAGTTTGAAAGCAAAAAAAAAAAAAAAACAAGACTGTAAAGTCTGTAGATAATGTCCAGAATACACAAACAAAAATAGAGGCTGTAGCAAGATCTGGAGATTGAGATAGCCACAACACACCAGATATTTTTCCTTTCATCCAGGTGCATCCAGAAAAATTATTGTGGAATTCAGGTGAAATTTAACCAAAAAATCCCTGTCAAACGAGTTTTGGAGAAAAGTACAAACTTTCTGTTCTACAAGTGCATCCAATGTCATGTTTACAAACACAAATATCATGTTTTCTCGGGTTTCTGAAGTTTCTGCCTAGAAAACTGGAATGTGTGGAGGATTTGAATCCATGTGAAACCAATTAGTGTTTGCCGGCAGAAAACAAAAATCTACATGCTAAAATGCATTGAAAACCGTAAAGTCCATAGGTAATGTCCAGAAAACACAAACAAACACAAAGGCTGTAGCAAGATCTGGGATTGAGATAGTCACAACACAGCAGATATTTCGTTCCAGCATATCCAGGCAAATTCTTGTGGAATTTGGTCAAATTTAACCAAAAAATCACCGTCAAAGTGGTTTTGGAGAAAAGCACAAGCTTGCTCTTTGGCAAGTGAATCCAATGCCATGTTTACAAACACAAATATCACATTTTCTCGGTTTTCTGAAGCTTACTGCCTAGAAAACTGGAATGTGTGGAGGTTTTGACTCCATGTTGAAACACTTAGTGTTTGCCAGCATAAAATAAATGTTATATGTTGAAATGCATTCAAAACCATAAAGTCCGTAGATGATGTCCAGAAAACACAAACACAGAGGCTGTAGCAAGATCTGGGATTGAGATAGCCACAACACACCAGATATTTCTGTTTTCATCCAGGCGTATCCGGACAAATTGTTCTGGAATCGGGTGAAATTTAACCCAAAATTCACTGTCAAAGTGGTTTTGGAGAAACGCACAATCTTTCTGTTTGGCAAGTGCATCCAATGTCATGTTTATAAACAGAAATAACATATTTTCTCTGGTTTCTGAAGCTTTCTGCCTAGAAAACTCAAATGTGTGGAGGATTTGACTCCATGTGGAACCGATTAGTGTTTGCTGGCACAAAACAAAAGTGAGAAAAGACAACTGAATCCAAGAGTCCTTAGTGATATTGGGCTTTTTTTAGTCACAAGGAAACTGGCTGCTTCCAGATTCATCCAACCCTCCAGCTGACTGGCTGTGGAAATCTGATTGAAGTAACCTGAAAATCACACTCACTCTCGATTTGGAGAGAATTAATATCTGTCCGCTTAACAAAAGGGTTCCATTTCATTTTCCAAAACACGAAAACTCCTCTTGGTGGTGTTGCATGTTGATTTCTAAGCATGAAATGCAATATGTTGTGTTTTTTATTTCTTAATGGATACTCTGTCTAAACTCTTGTTTCTATTGCGTCAGAGTACAAAATTTGGGAAGCAAGAAGGCTAAACAAACCCAGACCCAGAAACAATTTAGGAAATTGCCGCTCAAGAAACCAAAAATAACCTGAGCCACCCAAAACCATGACAGAAAGCCAGAATTGGAACAAGCCAACAGTTGAGCACTGATTGAAAATGACCATTCCTCCTGTGCCCTGAACTTCATATTAAAGCCTCAAATCCAAAGCTCACATCAGAAAATTCATTACAAACCATGATAAAGAAGAAAAATGTGAAAAAAGCCAAAGAAATCCAAGAGTCCTTAGTGATATTGGGCTTGATTTATTCACATGGAAACCGGCTGTTCCGGGATTGAATGCACCCCTCCCAGCTGACTGGCTGTGGAATTCTGATTGAAGTAACCTGAAAATCACACTCACACTCTATTCAGAGGGAATTAATATCTGTCCCCTCAGCAAATGGGTTCCATTTCATTTTCCAAAACACATAAACTCCTGTTGGTCGTGTTGCCTGTTGATTTCTAAGCATGAAACACCAAATTGTTGTGTTTTTTATTTCCTAATGGATACTCTGTCTAAACTCTTGTTTTATTGTGTCAGAGTACAAAATTTGGGAAGGAAGAAGGCAAAACCAACTCAGGCCCAGAAAACATTTAGGAAATTGCCGCTCAAAAAACCAAAAATCGGCTGAGGCACCCAAAACCATGACAGAAAAAATAAAATTAAAGCAAGACAACAGTTGTGCCCTGATTGAAAAAGACCATTCCACCCGTGCCCTGAACTCCATATTCCAGCCTCAAATCCAAAGCTCATATCAGAAAATTCATTAAAAAACATGATAAAGAAGAAAAGTATGAAAAAAAGCCAAAGAAATCCAAGAGTCCTTAGTGATATTGGGCTTGATTTATTCACATGGAAACCGGCTGTTTCCGGATTCACCCACCCCTCCCAGGTGTCTGGCTGTGGAATTCTGATTGAATTAACATGAAAATCACACTCACTCTCGATTTGGAGGGAATTAATATCTGTCCCCTCAGCAAAAGGGTTCCATTTCATTTTCCAAAACACATAAAATCCTCTTGGTCATGTTGCCTGTAGATTTCTAAGCATGAAACAAAATATGTCGTGTTTTTTATTCCATAATGGATACTCTGTCTAAACTCTTGTTTGTATTGTGTCAGAATACAAAATTTGGGAAGCAAGAAGGCAAAACAAACTCAGACCCAGAAACAATTTAGGAAATTGCCACTCAAGAAACCAAAAATCACCTGAGAAACCCAACACCATGACAGAAAGCCAGAATTGGAGCAAGCCAACAGTTGAGCCCTGATTGAAAATGATCATTCCTCCTGTGCCCTGAACTCCATATTAAAGCCTCAAA